ATTTCTGCTCTGATCTTTATTATTTTCTTCCTTCTACTTACTCTGGGTTTTTCTTGTTGTTCCCTTTCTAAGTTTTTAAGTTGTAGGGTTAGAGAGTCTATTAGAAGTTTTTCTTGTTTTTTGAAGTAGGCTTGTAGTGCTATAAATTTCCCTCTCAGGACTGCTTTCATCATATTCCATAGATTTGGAATTGTTGTATGTTCGTTTTCATTTGTTTCCAGGAAGTTTTTGATTTCTTTCTTGATGTCTTTGGTAACCCATTTATTGTATAAAAACATGCTTTTTAGCCTCCATGTGTTTGAATGTTTTTTAGTGTTTTTATTGTGGTTGATTTCTAATTTCATGACATTGTGGTCCAAGAAGATTCTTAATATGATTTCAATCTTCTTGAACTTATAGAGGCTTTTTTTGTGTCCTAACATGTGATCTATCTTTGAGAATGTCCTGTATGCACTTGAGAAGAATGTATATTCTACAGCTTCAGGGTGGAATGTTTTGTAAATGTCAATTAAATCCATCTGATCTAGTGTGTCATTTAGATTCACTGTTTCTTTGTTGATTTTTTGTTTGGAAGACCTATCCAGGAAGTCAGTGGGGTGTTAAAGTCCCCTAGTATGACCGTATTGCTGTCGATCTCTCCCTTAAAGTCCTCTAGGAGTTTTCTTTTTTATAAATATAGGTGCTCCTACATTGGGTGCATATATTTTTTTCAAGGTTATATTCTCTTGTTGGATTGATCCTTTTGGTATTATGTAATGACCTTTCTTGTCTCTTGTTACAGTCTTCATTTTGAAGACTATTTTGTCAGATATGAGTACTGCTACCTCAGCTTTTTTTTCATTTTCATTTGCATGGAAAAATTTTTTTTCATCCCTTCACTTTCATCCTGTGTGAGTCTTTTGTTCTAGATGGTTCTGTTGTAGACAGCATATATTTGGGTCATGTTTTCTTATCCATTCAGCCACCTTATATCTTTTTACTGAGGCATTTAACCCATTTACACTTAAGGTTATTATTGATAGGTACTTATCTATTGCCATTTTATTTCTTTATGCTTATGTTTCTCATTCTCTCTATTTCTACTTCTAATTACAGCAGTTCCTTTAACATTTCCTGTAATGCTGGTTTGGTGGTGATAAACTCCTTTAGCTTTTTTTGTATGGGAAGCTCTTTATTTCACCATCTATCTTGAATAATAATCTTGCTGGATAGAGTAGTCTTGGTTTCAGATCCTTGTTTTGCATTACCCTGAATACTTCACGCCATTCCCTTCTGACCTATAGAGTTTCTGATGAGAAGTCAGATGACAGCCTTATGGAGGCTCCTTAGTAGGTAACAGATTGCTTTTTTCTAGCTTCCTTTAAGATTCTCTCTCTGTCTTGAATTTTTGGCATTTCAATTATGATGTGTCTGGGTGTGGGCCTCTCTGGATTCTTCTTGCTTGGGACTCTCTGTGCCACCTGAAGTTGTGTGACTTTTTCCTTGACCAGGTTAGGGAAGTTTTCTGTCATTATTTCATCAAATAGGTTCTCTAAACTTTGCTTACTTTCGACCTCCTCTGGCACTCCTATGATGTGAATATTGTTACTTTTCATGTTGTCCCACAGCTCCCTTAGACTGTTCTCCTTTTTTTAATTGTTTTTTTTTGGGGGGGGGTCTCTGATTGAGTGATTTTTTTCTACCCTGTCTTCCAATTCGCTGATTCAATCCTCTGTTTCCCCTAATCTGCTGTTTATTCCTTATTTCTGCTATGTCATTCTTAATTTCCTTCATAGTTTCCATATTTTTCATGCTGTTGAGCATCCTTACAATCAGTATTCTGAACTCTATATCTGATAGATTGCTTATCTCTGTTTCATTTAGCTCTTTTTCTGGAGACTTCTCTTGTTCTTTCATTTGGGACTTGTTTTTTGGTCTCCCCATTTTGGGTACTTTTTTGGGTTTGTTTTTAAGTGTTAAGTAGATCTGCTAGGACTCTCAGTCTTTTTGGAGGGTCTCTGGTACAGGCCAATGTGAGATACAGTTTGTGACTGGCCCTGAGTACCCTGTTTGGAGCTATCAAGAACCCTAGGCCTGAGGTCTCCTCTGCTGGAACTGAGTGCATTTGGACAGGACCAAGATGCACACCAAAGTTTGCTTTTCCAAGGCCCAGGTCCAGAAGCAGATCAGGAAAGACTCAATGCACTCTGAGGTCTGCCTCTGCCTGCAGGCTGATTAATCTGATTTTCTTAATAAGCCTCAAGCTGTAGAAACTCCACAGGGTGGGGCGGCTGGTTGTTATCAGTCTCTTAACAAGCCTTAGGCTGTAGAAAGTCCTCTTGGCAGGGGGAGAGGCTTTCCAGCAGGGTGGGGCAATTGCTTCCCCCCTCAGGCAAAAGCCGAAAACTGTCTGCCTGAAAAAGATGTCCTCCACAGTCTGGGGAAATGACTAGGCGCAGGAATCCAGACGGGTGTCCCCCGATCTCACTCTCCAAAGCCCACAGCCCAGGCCCTGGAATGAGCCTCGAGCCTTTGTAGACTGGCTGCTGCTGTCTACTGCCATGCCCTTCCAGGCAGAACCCCCACTCTCTTTGTGTCTTCACACCAGCTCCTTACTCGAGCCTGGGCATCAGTCTGGTAGGGCTGACACTGGGCCCCAGGCCACATCCTGGAGGAAGGGGCTGAAGGCAAGAGACTGGCAGTTTCAGCGTCTCTCAGGGGAGGCAGACTCTGACACCCATCAAGACCCCTAAGTGGAAATTCCCTAGATAAACCAAGGGAGGTTCAGAGGCTGGGCAGCCAAAAGTGATGCCACTCCCGGCAGATATCTGCCAGGTCAGAACCCAGGACACTGGAGACCAGGCAAGAAATCTTGGTGTAGCAAAGAGAAGGCAGTCCTCGCCCAGTGCAAGGGGGAAGCTGTGGGGGAAACTATCAAAGGCTCAGATGAAGGAACAGGCTCTGGGAGACACTGAGGTGCCAGGGATCCTGGAAGCAGCGCCCAACCCAGTGGCCCTCAGGTGAGATCTGAGAACATCTCTGGAGCTTCCAGACCCGCTCAGAAACCTGCTCCCCTCCTGTGTCACTTCCTTCTTTATTTTTTTAATCCTCACCTGAGGATATGTTTTTATTAATTTTTAAAAGAAAGGCAGGGGAAGAGAGAGAGAGAGAGAGAGAGAGAGACAGAAACATCAATCACTTGCCTCCCGTATGTGCCCTACTGGGGATCCCACCCACAACCTAGGCATGTGCCCTAACTGGGAATCGAACCTGCAACCTTTTGGCACTCCAACCAACTGAGCTACCCAGCCAGAGCTGTCCCACTTCCTTTTAGTGCCTATTCTGTTTAGCGCTTTCCAGCCAGCAAACCTCCAGGTGCCTAGGGGGTTGTCAAGGTGTTTTCAGAGGTCGAGTCCTGCCTTCCTAGTGTGCCAGGTTACAGGTGGCAGCAGCAGCCTTACTGACCCAAAGTGTGGGAGTGACAACAGCTGGAGCTAGGAAGGCCCAGCGGTCTGCCCTTGGCCAGTTCCGGTGGCCTCATGCTATGGAGCATGTAGTCTGGTGTCAGGGGGTAAGTTAGCAGGAAGAGAAAAACACATTTATTGTGCATCTATTGTGCTACAGTCGGGGCAGCATCAACATGGACACAGTTATTCACGTTTACTCTGCCCAATATTGTGCTACGTGCTTAACATGCACTAGTCCATCAAAACCTCAGAGCAACTCTGTGAGCTGAGCATTACCATTCCACCTTCCAAGAGAGGTCATATCACCCAGTGCTCAGTGGAAAAGACAGGATTCAAAGCCAGGTTTGCCTGATCCCCACACGGAATGCTTCCCAATAGGCAGATGCTCAGGCTGGCACCAGGGCCAGAGCAGGAGAGGCCTGGGCTAGACTATGCAGGCAGGGCCACCATCCTGAGAGCACCTTGGGAGGGAGGGAGGAAGGGAGACAGGAGACCCCAGGGCAAAATCTGGTCTTTGAGGAAAACTCCTACAGACCCGTACCGCATGCCTGGAAGGAAGAGGGTGTCAGGCTGGACTTGTAGACCTGGGGTCAGAGGTAACAGCCAGGATATAAGTCATTTGGGACAGAGGCTTGGACTGGCTCTTCTCTGAGGCTCTGAGGGTGGAGGGAAAGCCCACTCGAGAGGTGGCCTGGGGCCCAACTCCTCTTCCCCCGTCTATCCCAGCGGCTGGCAACCCCCACCCTGACAGGCATGCTGAGGCACCTGGGCAGAGCACAGAAGGGCCCACAGGCCCTAGGCACCTGCTTCATCTCACCTTCTAGCATCCATTCATGTCTCAACCTTGGAGACCATGGGTTTATGAGTTAAGAACTTTCTGAAGCATATCTGTTTTTTAATGGGAGTGGGGCTATAAACCAAAATTCGCACAAATAAGTCATGTTAAAGACACAGAAGAACTAAGGCAAGGAGGGACAGTCTCCCCCACTGTTTCCATGAGCTCTCCAAAGTCAGGTACCATGTCCTGCTCACCTCAGTGGCCCCTCAGAGTGAAGCACAGTGTCAGACTCATACCCCACAAAAGGTGTTTTTCTCATTGTCAAATGCCTGTTCTGGTCTTTGAGGAAAGACTGGCGCATTGCGGGCACTGTATAAATCTGTGTGGCTAAGAGAAATAAGTGGATCGCCTACATGACGCGACCTCTTTTCCCACTTTCCTCAGCGCGGTCCCCACGCCGGTCTCAGGGCACCCTGCCCTCGCCCTTCCACCACCTCATCTCCCCAGCCCTGGTGAACCCCAAAGCATCCCCTACTGGCCCTGCTAAGCTTTGCCAAGTGGTCCCATCCTCACCTCAGGTCCAGCAACACCAAGAAGTCACACTGCAACCACTCTGGGTTAGTTTCTTAGCAATTTTATTGAGTAGCGACAGGTAGTGTCACTTTCCACAGGACACGTGTCCTCCAGCTCATACCATAATTTCTTTGGGACAGGTGGGCAGACAGGGGGCAGGGCAGGGCAGGTGTGTGTGGTGGGGCGCAAGCACCAGGGGCAGCTCAGCTCTCCAGGGAGGCCTGCGCCTGCTGCCCCTCCTGGTCCCCCGCCTGCGGCCCCGCCTGCTCCGGGAGGGCCGGGGACCTGCCCTGGCTCTCTTGCTCCTTGAGGGCGCTGAAGAAGGAGTTCACCTTGTCCCTCAGATCCTTCTCCAGAAAGACCAGGTGGCCTTCCGCGTCCCCCGAGTGGGGGCCCAGCTTCTGCTTGAGGTCCGCCACCTGCTTCACCAGGGCTTTGTTGAAGGCCTCGCCGAAGGGCTCGGCGCTGCTGCGGAA